GATGACTAAGTTATGACCATTTAATAGTTTGCTAGTAGACGAGGATAGCAGTTTGGGCCGTGTTCTTCTGGCAGTTGTTGAGAATTTTGGTGCGCACTAGGGGATCGTACCCTTGGGTTAGTAGACCTAAAGTGATCCCAAGAGTAAGGTTTTAATCCGGGCGATATCTGAGTTTCCACTTTAGTTGATTTCACTCCTTAAATTTCAAGTTGCTATTCCTTAGATTCCTCGGTCTTCTTGTTCTTTCTTGGCTATTTCTGGAAAAATAATAATAATAATAAATAAATAAATTCCCGGGAAAGAAAAAAAAAACGTCGGGGCGCACGACATGACGCTCAAGAGCTTTTATTTTCTCAACCACCAATTGTCGCGACTAACGTCGCAGGCGACTCGTTTTTTGGGCCGACCGCGAACCGGCTGGTAGTGAGCTGTTTTAATTCTCGAGCGCGCCCGAACTCCACCAACTTTTGAAGCTGCGAGTTTGCACCAATCAAAGGCCTTATTTCTGACTTGTTGCCTACAAAACATCTATAACATACCCCCAAACTTAGTCAAAAATCAATTCTAAAAAGATAGGCTCAAAGGATGCACAGAAACTCTAAAAAACTGTAAATGTGACCCGGCTTGCACGTGGCCATTGTATGCTAAAAAATGAAGTTTGGAGTTTGGGTTTGGAAGTTTTATGGGAGCTTCCTAGAAGGTTAAGAAGTGTTTTGCCCACAAAAAGATACTATTGTGCATCTGTGAGAAGTGAAGTACGCTAGAGACTAATTATCATTAACAATAGTCAAACTGGACAATGATGTGGTTGTTTAAGGATTCAAAGAAATAGACTGATGATTGGAATCATTGGGATGAGGGTGATCCCGTAGGTCTAGTTGGTAGCCCCATTTGACACTTTATTTGTAACTCGAATAAGTTAAACACAAAACTCTCATTTTCTTTTAAAGATGCAATCGTTATACATTAAAAAGGTCTAGTAACGTAATAGGTACCTTGATTGAGGTAATTTCATTCAAAGATTCAAACTTTGCTCATTAAAATACTCTTCGTGACGTCAAAGGGATCTCGTTTTTTTTTTTTTTTTTTTTTTTTTTTTTGTGAAAATGCCATTTTTATGATCACTTTTACATGTTTATGAGCCCCATTGTTTTCGGACATGCCTTAGAAACATGTTTAGGAAAATTGAGATTGAAACACGGTTTTCGACACTAAGACGACATTTTTCAGAAAAATGTCGTGAAGAAACTCCCCCCGAAATCTTGTTTTCTATGTGATGGAATCAAGACCGGAAGGCCCCAAGAGCCGAACGCCCAACCTCTTCCACCTGTCAATCCATTGTGTTCTCGACACGTCAACTCCCACACCTCGACCTAACAGTGGCCCACACCTCGACTCAACAGGGAGGGTGTGAAGCAGAAGAAGTTGTTGAGTTATGCGGCATCCTGTGAGCATGATGAAGAGTAATTGCAACACACACTTGTTAAAATCCTTTGCACTTGTATATGTGTCGTGATATGTGTAATGAATAAGTTATGTTGTTTAACATGTGTTTTTTTTTTTTTTTTTTTCAATATACCAAAGCAAGAAAAAGAAGACCGAGGCATCCAAATTTTTTTTTTTTTTTTTTCCGATATACCAAAGCAAAAACAAGAAGACCGATGTTTAAGGCCTTAAATCCTCAGTGCAAGTTCAGTCAGCAACTCCTACATTGCAAAACACCCTTATCAACAACCTCCAGTCACGAATCCAAAGCCTGACAATTTTAGGGTTTTTGGCCCCAGTTACCGCCGAACTTGTTCAGGGCATATCTATCTGCTCAAGACTCAGTTTTTGACGCCTTATCAAACAAGAACCGACACAATAAGTAACAAAAATTGAAATGAAAATAAAGTAAAGACACGATCAAAGGAGTACTAATTCCTAATTGATTCTGCAAATACTACGTTGAGTTAAACTTATTCAAGTTACCTAGAACATACCGGAAAGTGTTTGAATGAGTAAAGATTGATTATTTGATTGAAAATACCTCAATCAAGGCACCTATTATGTCAGTAGACCATTTTAATGTATAATGATTAAATCTTTGAAAGAAAATGTCTCATCTGTACATAGTTAATTTTGTCTAAAATAATTCTGGATTCGGATGCTACTGAGCACACCGCTGGAAATACAACAAAAAACTAATCAAGATAGACTTAAGAATCGCATGATTCGAAGTCCGGACGAAGGAGAAACGGCTCAAAATTCTCATTTTCTTTAAATGATTCAATCTTTATATATTAAACGTCTTCAATGATACCCCAGGGCTTCTTAATTGATCGGTCGGCTAGTTGCAAAACTACCAATGTCGGTTTCAAATCACCTAAGCCCAATTGAACATAAACCGAATAAGGGAGAAGACGTCGTTTAGGCTATAGTCGACAGATTGACAAAGGCAACTCAAACGGTGAAACTCCATGAATAAAGAAGAACCAAGATGAGAAAATATGAATAATGGAAGAAATGGTATCGAAAACCGAGTCCTGAGCAAAGAGGTATGCCCCGAACAAGTATCTTGAAGTTAGCTTTCCAGTGGTGCCAACCATGCATTAAAACTCTAACTGTAATGAGAGTTATTACAGTTTTAGTGCTGAAATTGAAAGGTGCTGAGGAGTTTAAGTAGACGGAACAACACTAGCAAGCCTTTGAAGGTCTGAAAATACAACTTCTCCTTCCTCTAAATGATAAGGTTCAGTGGACTTCTCGCGACGTCACCTGGAGCCGCGGATCATTCCCGCACGTTCAAAATTACTATTTATGTTTGCGTGCATGATCGTTTTCATGAAAAACCCTTTCATTTGTGTTTTAAGCAAATAATTCCTTGTGGCAAATGTCTCGCCATTACTATAGTGGTCAGTCAGTGCAACGGCCATGTCTGCATCAGATGGCCTATGGAGAATAGGATAATGAAGGCCGGGAAGGCTGACGTGCGGGACTTATCCCACATCGAATCTGGATGGAAATTGAAAGGGGTTTAAATGAGTGAATATGCAGCATCCATCATTTGCTTGTTTAGAGATTCCATCATTTGTTTGTTTGCAACCAAAATCTCATCAGTTGGGAACGCAGGAGGTTGATTAGAGAATTTGGATTATACGGAGGACGGTAGCTTGACTTGCCGACCCGGAATCCACCAAATAATATTTCCCTACCATTTTACAAACTATAAGGCACATTTTTTTACCATGATATTTTAAATAAGTATTGCAAAATTAAGTGGGGAATGGATAACTCAACACAAAAAATACCCCTTACTATTTTCTTTGCATTCTAATCAATTTTTATAAAACCTAAATCCTAAAATAAATGCAATTGTCAATATAAATATTCATTATACTTTAATCTGAGAATAGCATTGGTACCATTGGAAAGCTAACTCAAAATCCATGAATTTAAGCTCAAGAATCACCCCATTTGGATTAGAAATGAGGAAGATATGACCGTTTGAAGTCCGGCAATGGCGAGACTGAGTTCGGCAGATCCGGTGAAGACTAGATAGATGGGTCAGTAGATCTTCAGAAGGTTGCAGAGAGGGAGAGAGACTGGGTAGCTGTTACCAGATTTTAGCCCTCATAAACCCTATTTGGTTTTAGAAACAATTCTTCCAACAAAACCCAGTTACCAAGTTTCAGCGTGTGAAGTTGAACTATGGAGGCAAAATCATTTTTATCAATTAGTTCATAGACAGCATTATCATGAAAGTAAATAGTGTCACCACTAAACTGGTTGGCTCTCAGATCTCCATGGTCAAATGGTATCCCCCCGGATCGGCCCGTTGAGGTGAGCCTTGGGTCCAAAAAGAGAGGCAGTGCCCCGCCTCTGATTCACGGAATAAGTAAAATAACGTTAAAAGTAGTGGTATTTCACTTTCGCTGTAGTAACCTCGAGATTGCCAATAGCCAGCCATCGCTGGAAAAGGTGGCATAACCCCTAGCAATTAATAGTAGGATGAGTGGTGCCAGTTGGGGGTGATGATTGAAAGAAGAATGAAGATGGATAAGGAATAAGATGGATGGAGATGAGTGAAATTTGGAGATGGGAGAAGGGGGTAGAGGCGTGAGGTGTGGGTTGAGAGAGAGGAAGAGGTTTAAAATGAAGTGAAATGGGCTTTCAAGCCCATTTTACTAGCAGCGGAGGGGAGGCGCGGGCGCCCGCCACATTTTCGCGCGGGGCCCGTGAGACACGGCGGGGCCCTGCCAATTCTAAGAAGACACTAGCTAGTTTTGCGGGCACCCGTGGTGGTGCGGCGGGCGCCCACGGAGTTTCTTCAGATGCTGCCTTGTGCAGCCTAGCTCAGCGTGCAAGGCCCGAGACGTGATCTCCAGCAACTTTAAATCCAGGACATCCATATATCTTACGGTAGAACATATTTCAAAGAATTCATTAAGATGTTTGGCCTAGCGGGTTATTATCGGAGATTTGTGAAAGATTTCTCCCGTCTGGCAGCGCCTATGACCCGCTTGACCCGGAAAGGGATTAATTTCAGAATGATGTTGTTATTGATGAGGATGTGCCCAAATTGGTTTTAAGCTAGTTTTTCAATGGTACACACCTCATCCTCCATATTTAATATGAAATGGCCATTTTACCCTTAGCTTCCGTATTTATGACTATTTTAACCTTAGCGGGCTTCCGTATTTGTCTCTCGGGTTCTCGAGTACGGTTTAGATCTACTTGGTTAATGTACCGGATCATGGGATTTGAGGCATTACAATTTGATAATGATGATTAACCTTTTTAATAAAAATAAATGGCATACCGTACCTATTTGTTCCACATGTTGGATTAAAACGAACATCTCAAAAAAAAAAAAGTATAGCCCATCATTGATCTAGTATCCCCTATAAAAAATTAGTCATCCTGCCACCTAAATCATCTTGAATGGAATAATAGAACTGTTGATGGTTGGTCTACTGGCTTTTAGAAAAATTCAAAACTACTTGTATGCTTGTTGTTGTTCAAATTTTTGTGGCATGCTTATTGATCAGGCTATTGAATACTGGGGAATGATCCAAGACATTCACGTCATTATTTGAACCAGCCATACCAAAGAAAGCATGCCAGATCCACAGATCTTTCGATGCAACTACCTCCAATATAAGGGTAGGCTTATAATTTCTTCCCCTGTGTGTGCCATGCCACCCTGTAGGGTAGTTCTTCCATTCCCAATGCATACAATCTATAGAGCCAAGCATACCTAGGTTGCCTCTTTCCTCCCCTTCTCGAAGTAGACGTGCAATGTCCTCTTCATTCGATGTGCATTGGTACTTCCCTGCATACACCACAATTACAGCATCACAAAAACGCTTCAAGCTTTCAACCACAGTGGTTTCAGAAATCTGTATGTACTCATCACAAAGATCTGCTGAAATTCCATGTGTGAGTATACGTATTGCAGCTGTCATCTTCGATATAGGAGTAAAACCCATACGACCGAGGGCATCAAGCTTCTGGATGAACCATTCGGCATATGTTGTAACACCGTTTAAAATGCGAACAAACAACTCTCGCCACATCCTAAATCATCTACAAAACATCTGGGGTGGAAAAGTGGGATTTTCAGGAAAATAATCTTGAAATAGCCGCTGGGTTGTCTCATCTTGATCACATTTAATATATTTTATCTTACAACGTTGAAAGAATGCCTTTACCTTCTCAGTTGATAACAGTTACATCACCGCATTCATCCTTTTTCGACGTTTTCTAAGCTCATAATAAGAGTTGCTTACTTTTACGTAAAGGGCATGAATGCATAGTTTCTTCAGAAACATTCTTGATTTTGGGGTTTTAGTGTAATTATGTAAAGTAATTATTTTTCGTCTTAGGGACCATTTTTGTCATGACCCTAGATTTTTCAACCCAGTGTCTTGTGATGAACCAAAGATTGACCCCATAACGGATACAGATGCGGAAGCAAAAGAAACAAGACAATGGTCTCTTAAGGCATAACACACCTCTAAGACCCTAAGATGACCTTCCATAAGGTCACGAAACCCAAAGGAATCACCGGAAGTGAAAGCTAGAATGAAAAGGGGTCACTTGGTACCCTATGTCACCGATGACAACCAAAGGAGCAAGATCTAGTTCAAACTAGACCATGTGTGCCATAGAATGGCTCAAATAAGATAAACAAGGTCCTGTGGGAACAAACAAACGAGGTTAACCTGTCTAGGCAACAAACCAAACAAAACCCACAAGGCAGCCCTATTTCGGTCGACCAAAATGGAGCTTCGGTTGGCCGAAGTAAGCCAGGAAAAAAGAGAAGAATGAGCCTTCATTTCAGTCGACCAAAATGACAAACCAATCAATCGATTTATGGCTCGAGATGAAAAATGGCTACTGGAATTGAGTTTTCACTGTTCAATTGATGGAAAATCTATAAGGCAAAGAATTTGATGAAAAGCCAAACTTTTTGTCCATGGGCAAAAGACTTGTTGACAATGTGTTTGTCATGAAAATCTTTAGTCTTTGCCTTATAGATTTTGGCGCTTTCATATGCATCATTTCAAATTTCCTCAAGCTCATTGAGTTGCAATTTACGAGTAGAGCTAGCTTATTTGAGATCAAAGTTGAGCCTTTTTATGGCCCAATAAACGTGGTGCTCTAATTCGACCGGGAGATGATAGGTTTTTCCAAAGACAAGCCGATATGGTGATATACCAATAGACGTCTTATATATTGTCTGGTAGGCCCAAAGCGCATCATTTAGTCTCAATGACCAATCTTTGCGGTCCGGTCGAACCGTTTTTTCCAGAATATGCTTGATCTCAAGATTATATACTTCCACTTGACCACTCGTTTGGGGATGGTAAAGTGTGGCAACCTTATGAATGACCGAGTATTTAGAAAGGACGAATCTGAGGTAACGGTTTCGGAAATGAGATCCTCCATCACTAATGATGGCCCTAGGCATACCAAACTGACTGAAGATGTTTGATTGAACAAACTTGACCACAACTTTATGATCGTTGGTTTTGGTAGCTTTAGCTTCAACCCATTTAGACACGTAATCCATCGCTACGAAGATATACTCATAGTCATAAGAAGATAGAAACGGTCCCATGAAATCAATGCCCCACACATCAAAAATTTATATGCTTAAGATGGGAGTAAGGGGCATCATGTCTCTTCTAGACATAGAGCCAAGCTTTTGGCAACGCTCAGCATCCCGAAACAAGGAAAGCCAATATAATCTGCTTTGAAGGACCTTGTCAGCGGTCTTCTTGGCACTGAAGTGACCCCCACAAGCAAGGGTATGGTAGAAATTCAAGACACTTGTGAATTTAGTTTCGGGAATGCATCGCCGAATAATTTGATCTGGGCAATACTTGAATAATTCCGGATCTTCCCAAAAGAAATGCTTGACTTGGGAGAAGAAATGGTCTATTGATTGTTTTGACCAATTGGAGGGAATTTTTCCTACCGCAAGATAGTTGACAATATCCGCGAACCAAGGAAGACTTGAATGAGAAATCTGAAATAGTTACTCATCCGAGAAGGAATCACAAACCGTAGCAAATTCAGAGGATTTCTCAATGAGTAAGTAAGAGAGATGGTCTACGACAACATTGTCTATTCCCTTTTTATCCCGAATCTCAATATCAAACTCTTGGAGTAAGAGTATCCATTAGATGAGATGGGGTTTGGTCTCTTTTTTGGTGAGCAAATGCCTTAGAGCGGCATGGTTTGAAAAGACAATGACCTTGGATCCTAGAAGGTAAGAGTGGAATTTATCCAAGGCGTACACTACAGCTAGCAATTCTTTTTCAGTGGTGGTGTAATTTAATTGAGCATCAGAGAGAGTCTTCCTAGCATAACAGATAGCATGCGGAAGCTTGTCCACACGCTGGCCCAAAACTGAACCTAATGCATAATCGGATGCATCACACATGATCTCAAATGGAAGAGACCAATTAGGCGGTTTCATGATTGGGGCGGATGAGAAAAGAGTACGAAGTTTCATAAACACTTCCAAACAAGCCTCATCAAAATTGAACGGAACATCCTTGGCAAGAAGGTTACACAAGGGCCAAGAGATTTTGCTAAAATCTTTGATGAAGCGACGATAGAAACTGGCATACCCAAGAAAGGAACGGATTTGTTGGACAGAATTTAAAGGAGGAAGGTTAGAGATCAACTCGACTTTGGCTTTGTCAACCTCAATTCCCCTTTTGGAAATGACATGTCCCAAGACAATGCCTTCTTGTACCATAAAGTGACTCTTCTCCCAACTTAGAATAAGATTTGTCTCCTTGCATCTTTGAAGCACAAGGGATAGATTTTGGAAACATGAGTCAAAGGAAGATCCAAAGACGGAAAAATCATCCATGAACACTTCCAAAAACTTTTCGACCATATCGAAAAATATGGACATCATGCACCTTTGGAAAGTTACCGGTGCATTGCATAGCCCAAAGGGCATGCGTCTATATGCAAATGTTCCAAAGGGACATGTGAATGTGGTCTTTTCTTGATCTTGATGATCAATTACCACTTGGTTATAGCCGGAATAACCATCAAGGAAACAATAGTAACTTTGGCCGGCTAACCGCTCTAGGATTTGATTAATGAATGGAAGTGGGAAATGATCCTTCCTAGTGGTAGAATTGAGTTTCCGGTAGTCAATGCACACACGCCACCCGGTGGTGGTGTATTGCGGCACGAGTTCTCCCGTTGAATTCACAACAATGGTGAGGCCGGATTTCTTGGGAATAACTTGAGTGGGGCTTACCCACTTGCTATCAGAGATGGGCTAGATGATTCCCACATCTAGTAGCTTAATCACTTCTTTCATAACCACTTCCTTCGTGTTGGGATTCAACCGGCGCTGCATCTCTCTAGAAGGTTTAGCGTCGTCCTCCAAATGAATGCGGTGCATACAAATAGAAGGGTCGATTCCTTTCAAATCAGCCACTGCCCAGCCAATAGCTTCTTTGTGCTCTTGTAGCACCGCTAAAAGGCTAATTTCTTGATCCTTTAAAAGGTTCGATGCAATGATGACCGGAAGAGTTTGATTTACACCAAGAAACACATATTTGAGGTGAGTCGGGAGCGGCTTTAACTCAAGTTATGGTGGAGATTTCAAGGAAGGGACTGGAGGAGTAGTAGAGAGTTGAGGAAGTGGTTCTTTTGGCATCTTCCAAGGAGGAAAATCCATGATAGCACCTATGTTGAGCAACGAATTCACTTCTTGGATGGCTTGGTCAATATCAAAGTTCGAGAGGTCAAAATGAGACATGCAAGTTTCCAAAGGATCTTTGCTTAGAATAAAGGAGAGAGATTCTTCAACCACTTCATTGACCACATCAATAAGGAAACAATCATTATCTTCGGAAGGATGTTGAGTGGCATGGAAAATGTGGAGTTTGACTTGCTTATTTCCAAAGGCGATGTCCATTACCCCGGTTCGGCAATTAATTGAAGTATTAGCCGTAGCTAAGAATGGCCTACCAAGGATCACGGGGATATGCTTCTTTGGATCATGGACCGGTTCCGTGTCAAGAACCACAAAGTCTACCGAGAAGTAGAATTTGTCCACTTTGATTATGACATCTTCAAGAATGCCCCGTGGATACTTGACCGATCTGTCGGCAAGCTGCAAGACCACGGAGGTTGGCTTAAGATCTCCCAACCCAAGTTGTAAGTAGATTGAATATAGAATCAAGTTTACACTAGCTCCTAAGTTAAGGAGGGCTCTTTCTATCTTGTTGTCGCCAATGACACACGAGATTGTTGGGGCGCCCGGATCCTTATACTTTGGAGGAGCACTGTGTTGAATGATTGCACTCACATTTTCAGTCAATCTTACTTTCTTTGGCAAATAATTTTTGGAGGTGCGCTTTTGAGCGCACAAATCCTTGAGGAATTTAACATACGGGGAATTTGCTTTATAGCATCCAAGAGAGGCAAGTTGATCTTTACTTGCTTGAAGACTTCCCACATGTGTTAAATTTTACAATTTTTGTTCCCAAAATGTGTCGACTCTTGGAGATATTGAGGAAATGGAGCCTTAGGCTCATAAGAAGTCTCCACATTTGGGGCAATAAGCTTGGAATTTTCAGCATTAGACTTTGGAAATTCAGGAGTGAGATTTGGATTTTTGGGAGGAAGAACTTTTTCATTGTTTCTTTCATCAACCTTGTTATCCACAACTCGACCACTCTTAAGGGTGGTGATTGTTTGGACTTGTTCATGAGTTGGCCCACTCGGAGGAGGGGTTTCGTCAATCACATGAATCCCTCTAGGATTCTTAAATGGTTGAGCGGGAAGCTTCCCCTTATCTCTTTGAAGAAGTTGGTTCATTGAAGTGGCTATTTGCCCTACTTGATTCTCAAGTTTAGCAATAAACTGAGTATGAGAATGAACCATTTAGAGAGTGGGCTGCAATGATGTTAAGAGTTGCTTGTTAGATTCCATCATTGGCTTGTTTAGAGATTCCATCATTTGCTTGTTTGCAGCCAAAATCTCATCAGTTGGAAACGCAAGAGGTTGATTAGAGACATTTGGATTATAAGGG